TACGGCGACGTGCGCGCATACCAGAAACCGGAGACTTTTTTTTTTGGCCTAAAATAAAATGTCTCGCGACTATTGGAAAGCCAGCCCAGACATCATGAATATATAAACGCCTCTTTTATCTCGCCATCGATTATCAAGCTGGTTTCCTATTGTCCCTCAAACTATTGATTATTATTGTTTTCCTATCGGATGGCTGTCACCATTGACTCCATTGTCCCTCACGAACCGAAAGAAAAGAAGTCATTGGTCGAAGCATATCACGTGACAGTTCGCTACTGGTGCCTCGTTTGTGTTTCTATAAACAGCCCAACTTGCAGACAATCGCCTGAAATGTAAATAGACGTAAATAAAAGGGCAGTTGGATCAATAGGAATAGTGCGCGTGTAAGTCGCCTTGAAAGAAAATATCTAACAACAGGGTAGATTCACACGATAAGACGGTGGAATTATTGTTGAACGATGAAATTCGCATGCATTTATTTTTAAATTCTGTCATATCATCATGACATGGGGGACGCGTCCGGCCGTCCGGACGGATCGAGGACGCGTCGATGGTAGAAAGTACATCAGCTGCTAATATAACATGCGATTTCTGCATAAAACAGCATATTTACTGTCAAAGGGCTCTTTAGAGTTAGGCCTGTTTTACTTAAATGCAAATACCACATCTAGGAATTTTGATTTTCAGTCATCTGACTGTTTCGCAATTCTCTGCGTTCCCTATGGAAATTCCTGGATCCGTGCCTTATCAACATAGTTTAATCTGCTACCCACATGAGGTGATTTTTTTACCATAGATCGAAAAAGCAGTTGTTGTTTTTCCTCCAAATGGTAAATTTGGGGAAAGTTGGGTCTGTGACAGCAAGAATTTTAAAAGCCAGAGCCGGACTTATGGTTCTCCTGAAAAAAATCAACGGATGACAAAGTTACAAAGACTCTAGAGTTACGTTAGGTGTGGAAGGAGCAAATCGCCTCTAAAAATCTCTGTATCGTTTTTGTGTGTGTGTGAACCATACGTTCCCACAGCTCACTCATCCAGCCGTCATTTTGAGGGAAAATTGCTAGCACGCATGCGCTCGCGTACGAAAATATTCAAAGTAGACATTAACAAACTGGGAGATTGCAGAGATATCTTGGTCGGTAGAGTACTGCTGCGATGTTCCGGAGGTTGACGGTTCACATCCTACTCCAATTAACCATACTTTTTGAACCATTAATTGGAAATCGTGAATTGTTTGTATGTAGGCCTATATAGAGAACTGTTGTGTGCCTCACTAAAAAGTCGGTCCCCCACTTTAACACGCTTAAGTATTAAGCAGGCTAGTATTAAGCAGGCTAGACGAAATTGGGAATCCTGACTTTGGTAAAGATCTCTCATCTGTGTCAACAGGAAAAAACCCAAAGCACCACAGCCTTACGTCAATTAAAAAACAATTGGCAAAGAAAACGTTTCTGGCTTCCACCGAAGAGGGCGCCCTTTGTGGGCTGTCTAAAAATGTGTGCGCAGTTAATTTTAGGGAAATACCGGTAATGATTTCGTCATGTGAAAATAGATTGTCACGCCGAAATAGCAAGCCACCCACATATTCCGGACGCAATCAACCAAGCGGTAAACCGTTCATAAATAACGACATCCTTTTCCAATTATATTAAATTAAACAAAAGACTGGGAAATTGTTTTGGTTTTAGAAGTTTGTTTTTATTTTCAGAAGCCTATTAGCGACAAAGTAAACAGAAACACTCCATGGAAGATAGCAACTAAATGACCCGTGAAATATTTGTGCCCGTCTACTTATAGCGCTTGCGGTTGTTTAAAATATATCAGGCTAATGTTTCGTTTTTGTTTTCAGTCATAAGTGTCTTTTAGGTGTATTCAACTTTATCCATGTTTATCCATCTTTTGAACGAAGACGTATGCGTTTAGATTTTTACACATATTTTTATAGGGAGTATCTTTGCAGTTTTGTTGCGAATTGTTGATAATTATAGGCTTGCTCTTTTTGAGCTTTCGTAACTTCGTGTCCTTCGATTTGTGTTGAATCAGAAACAAGTGTGTGCATTGTCAGTCAAAATGGATATGCACACTTTGTGTTTCTTGTTTGTTTCCACACCGCGCTCTGTCCTAAAGCTGATGAAATACCTTATTTCGAAATAGGGGTGTTTTCCAAATTCTTGGGCGGCCACGTCACCGACTTGCAAATCCTTTTGGTATTTTATATGGCCCCTTACCACAAACCACTAATAATACCCAACACGAAAGCCACCTTATTGTACAGGTGGCTTTTAAAGGGGTCCACACTTGAAGTCAGATCAAACTGCGTCAAGGGGAAAACAATAGCTGCACAAAGAAAGTTACTGCATCGTGAAAGTTCACTCCAGATGTTGCAGGTTCGATTCCCGTTCTGTCAATTTCTCTTTACAAAATGCATACCTACGAATGGAAAGTAACCTTTACTCAGCTTAAAATAGTGGTTTATTTGATAAAATAGAGTTGAATTTATGATTTGACCTCGTTAAAGCCCAATTAACTTGAATGGTGCTGCACAGAGCAATGTAAGGCCTATCGTACACTTTGATCTCTTCTGAGTCTACCTGGTCCGAGTGTCTCCTCTTCTAAAGAATCGCGTCTTTAAAAAGTTTAGAGTGGCCATGCCGTCCCACTGCTCCTCAATCAATCTTTAATCACACAATACGGGCAGAAGTCTTAAAATACAACCACAGCGCAGACTGTCTAATTACAAAATACTGCCCATCGTAAAAACCTCCGCGGTTCGGCCGTAAACTCGAAGATGGTGTCTGGGCGTCTGGGCCCGCGTTGGTCATTGACATCCTCTCCGGTCATTACCGGGCATTTTCAAGGGCACTGACGACAGGGAACCGTGGGAAACTAACGCTAGTTTGGGGTAGGGGCTGGGTTTACGAGGGCCCACTTTTGACTACAGGATGATGACCGGGCGTTTCGCGCGCGATGACGCCAGACCGGCGAACGACGCGCCTCACCGTCTGCTTTTCCGTATAGAAGCTAATTGCGAGATTCTAACCTTGGGCTTGCGCGGGCTTTGAATTAATAAGTAAGAGGGGGGGGGGTTTGTTATATCCAGCTTCAGAAAAACTGAATCTCGGCAGTTGACTCATGATTTGTTATAAATTGGATCTGTTACAAATTTCGTCTTGTTTAGTGGTACAAATAGTATAGGCCCTCATTTTTTCCCGCCAAACTGACGGCCAAAATAAAAATCCGCCGCTTTTTCTAATAAAACAACACGTAGAAAGTTCGATCTTGTGTTTCGGTAGGTCCCAGAACTTTTTAAAACCGGTGTATGTACTTTCACTAGCAGAAGTTCATACAATTTCCCTCATTTAGGGAATGCTGAATTAGAAACAAAATTTCTGTAGTCAACTCAACGGTGTCGGACTGTGACATTTATTATAATACTAAGCAATACGAGAAAAAAAAATAGCAAATAGCACCACATGGGAAAAGTCAGTCCCAAGCATGGCTGAAGATGCGACGGGATTGTTTCTTGTCATTATACTTATTTATAGGCCTGTAATTGCTGCCCCCCTCCTCCGTCACCCCCTTTACCCCGCCCCAACAAAATTCGTTATCATGTACAGTGGACTCTCGTTAGTACAAACTCTGTTAATACAAATTCTGGTTATAACAAACATAAAGTCTTGGTCCGAACTGTGCATTTATGTGCACAATGAATGGGACTGGTGTTCCTCTTAATAAAAAAATTCTGGTATTACAAACAATTTGGCTAGGTCCGAACGAGTTAATAATAGCGAGACTCGACGGTATTTCGAGCTCACACACGTGGGTTGCACAAGATGGCCTAATTTTGCAAGCAGCGTGTATCCTTTTTTGCTCCTCTCTGATCCGTCTTGAATGGTCTCCCCCACCACAAGTCAGCGAGTCACCCACCTAAAGAAACCTCTGATACAATGCCCCTGCTGTTATACCCAGAACGGTGTGCTCTCCACAGCCGCTAGCCTCAGGCGTGAGTGCTTTCAGGTAAAAGAAAGCAAAGGGTTTATTCAAGACAGGCTTTGCCTCTGCTGTTAAATTGCCTCCTTGTTTTCATCTTGCACATTTCCTGAGGCCCCGAAAAAAGGTCTACAACCCTCCAAGTTGATCTCCAAACAAACCAACATCTTATTACATCTATTGTCCCGGGAACTGGGGAGGAACTCTTCACACACGCACGTGGAGAGGAGAGTTTCTTAATCTTGACTATTATGCTTCCTACGCGTTGCGCAATGCACTGGTTGCCACGGGCACTCAAGACAAGACGACGGTGACTTCTTAACATTTTTGGCGCCTTTTTTTTTGCTGAAAAGAGCGCGCCGGCGGGATGCCGAATCTGGCCAGCTAAATGTCGCCACTTGCTCGGACAAAATATACGTGCGACGCGTGGGCAAAATTCTGTGCAGGCTTTTCACTCGGGATTTGGGCGTCACATGGCCGTCTTCGAGAGATGGAACTACATGTAATAGAAAGTAGTCTTTAGAATATTTTCACGATACTACAATGTATGGCGAAACGCTAAGCTGAAGCCGGGCCGTTCTAGAGGAATGCGTATAAAGGCCTTTCTGGAAAATCTGAAATTTACTTTTTTCTGGAAAATTTTAAATTACAATGTACTTTTTTCTTTCTAAAAACTGGAAGTCCCCCTCTCAGGCATGCAACTGGTTAGTCACACAAAAAGAAGGAAATTCAAATATTTCCTTGGACTTTGTAAAGTGTTTTTCTCTTTTGAATGGCACAATTGGGAAGTAAAAAACAAGAGAGGAAATCAGCTGATCCGAGGAAAGTTGTATGCCTGCCCTCTCCAAAATGCATTTTTTTTGTGTGCATCTATTCCCCTTGCAAGAAGATATTTCATATATTATATAGTTGTAATATATTTTTATATTAAACATTATGCTTGAACATGCGTAGTCATTAAATTAAAAAACAATATTTACGCAAGCAATCAACAGTAAATGTAGACATCGTTCTATGTTTCACTCGCTTGTATATTTTTATTCATTTTTCTCCAGTCACAACAATATGAAAATATATCTTAGAAATCGTACAAAAAAATCAAATAAGACTCATCTCGGCACATTTGGTGAACACCAAAAAGAGAATTGAATACTTTGGTAACCATGGTGACTAACAAAATCAAGCATCATCAAAAATATCTTCACAAGAATCTTGAATAACATTCATATCGTCTTGATTTTTTTTTCAGAATTTTCTGGAAGCACAAAACTTTATATAAAAACTCTAGAGTATATACAAAATATGAAAACAGGTTTTCATTTGCATAGCTTTTTCTCCACACGATTGGCTTTCTCGAAGGTATCAATAAATTACTACATGTATGTACAACTCAAGAAAACCAAACAATGACAACTTTCACGTCACTTGAAGCAGTGCCAGGCTTTTGCATAGTAAATATCACCTTGGCAGGTGACTAAACTGCCGTTCAAAGTTACGGCCCGTGAGAAAATGAATGATCAACTTTCGATTTAGTTACTCAATACAGAGTCCCAGAAGGAATGCTTTACTTGTGAATACAAAATGTACTTGCTAACAAATTTGCATGAGATTAAACCTGATGTTTAAGAACTGGAATGCTACACGGGAGTACAAAAAAATGGAATACATTAAGTGTCTTTGTCAGGAATGCTGCATCTTTCTTTTCTTAGCCAAGCTTAATTAGAAAATGGAAAAGGCGGGTAAAATATGCAAAAACAAGCTTCACGACACACATCCCATGCACACAGTTATACATGCGATTTGTTTTTAAGTATTTTTGAGTTCAGTCTTTGGTTGAGGCATTTATTACCAAGGCCTCCACATGGAATCGTGTTCGGTTTGGTGTGGGATGTTTGCGTTGATGGGTCGCAAGACGGTACTGCGTGGACTTTGGTTGACGGCTTGGATGTGGGCATTCTCAGCAACTTGTAGTTGAGAGGTCTGGTAGACGGTACAGGGTGCCGGAAGGGTGACAAATGTTGGGGCGGCATGGACCATGACGGGGGCTACATTCCCTGCCACTGGACTGCAAGCTGACCCCCTGGAATCCCCATGTGTGACAGGGGAAGGGGCAGGGGACAAGACCGCTGAGTTCATGTGGGAGTTCGTGTGGGACGGGACGAAGCACGTCTGGGGGGATGACTCCCTGGTGATGGTGGGCTGGTAGACCTGAGCGTTTGCTAGGTGGGTCGGAGAATTGATGGAGGAAGTGGGGCTAGACATGGGTGATGGGGTGGTGCTGCCGCTGTGTGAGGAGGCTGGCGGTGACAGTAGAGGTGTGCTCTGGGCATAGACGGGGATGAAGTGGCTAGGAAGCTGCCCACCTGGGAGAGCCTGAGAGGGCAGGACCACCGTGATCTCACCCGAAGGTAGTGTGCCCGGCACACCGATTGGGATGCCGGAGATGACACGGGCAATGTTGTTAGTGTCCGTCTTGAGACCCGCGGGATGGATCTGACTCGGGATATTCACTGCGACGGCTTGAGGGAGAGACTGGGGGGCAGTCGAGCAAGGCACAGTTACTTGAAGCTGCTGGTGTTGTTGCTGCTGGTGTTGCAACTGGGCCTGCTGCTGTTGTTGCTGTTGAAGGGACTGCACGACCGATGTTGGGATGGAAGTCGGGACGGTGGCCGCTTGGGAGATGGTAGCTGCGGGGGCATAGGTCACTTGCTGTTGTTGCTGCTGCTGCGATGCCTGTACTTGCTGCTGCTGTTGTTGCTGTTGTTGCTGCTGCTTCTGCTGGCCAGCTGCACCCTGTTGCTGCGGGCTGCAGCAGTTGGCTAGATGACCGATGAGGTTGGTCTGTACCTCCACATTGGATTCGGAGGACCCAGTCAGAAACCGAGAGACCTCACTGATGCATTCGCTGTAGCCGAGGCGATAGCGGTTCAGCAGGTTAGGATCACCATTCATGGCAGCTGTAAGGATAACATAAAAAACAAATAAATAATTAAATTTTATGAAAAACGATACAGCAATCGTTGATTAAGCTTCACAATCAAAAAACATACTTTTCAATTATTCCAGTATCATCTTCATAACACTAATTTCAATTAAAATTTGAATTTCAACTTGTTTTGCCGTCTTTCACTTGTTTATTTCTTTCATTGATACTCCAGGGACAAACGTTAAAAATAGAAGTAATATATTTGTTTTATCCTTACCCGACATCTGTTGTCTTTGCATGTTGCGAAGGTACTTGACAGTCATCTCCAAGATATCAGCTTTCTCCAACTTAGAATGGCGGGAACTCTGCAAGGAGAGACAAAAAGGACAAAGAGAAACATGAGTCAACAGCTAAGGAATGCAAAGCGCGCAATAAAGGTTGACCGGTCGATGAAGGGTTGGGTACGGTCGATGGTGTCGAAAACCAGGCCCTAAAATGGATTTGAAACACGCGCCACTAGTGTGATGCGAGTGACTGACCACCCCCCAAAGAGGGACCTGTCACGGGCCAGTAAGTATTGAACCCGTGCGCTGTTGAATAGGAGAGGGACCCATCAATTATCTGATGGAGGGGGGGGGGGGAGAGAAAAACCTCGTGTCTTCAAGCAAGACAACAGGTGCATTGACTGACTTGAAGGAAATTAAGGATTTTAATACCGTGGGATCCGAATTGGGGTTAAGCTCTGCGTGGGGTTTCGGCCGTGCGGAGAGCGCGCAGCGCGCGACGCTCAAGAGGTCGTGGGAGCGGAGCTGTCTTCAGCAGCCTCTGCGCCGCGCCAAGTCCCACGGGGATCCAATTTCACTAAGCTGTCGTCAAGTCTAAAGTCATCCCTCTTTTAATTTTTGGCGGGGAAATCAGTGGGTTCTTGAAAGACACAAAGTGGGCCCTCATGACTCATGACCAGAGCTCTCCCGCGAGTGGTGTTGGTTTGTGTATGTATTCTAGGGGATGGTGTTGGGGGTCGAGGGGTAATGACATGTGCAAATATACACAACTCACGAGCGCGCGAGATGAAGGGAGTTTGTTTGTTGAAGGAGTGACGTCTTGAGACGGTTGAGAAATAGCGAAGAAGACAATGCCAGAATTGGCGCGTAAAACGAAACCGTGCAAAAATGCACATAGGTGTTAAAATAATAAAAACGTCTCAATCAACTAATTGTCGTCATTCTTAAACACAAGGATCTGATAACGACGTCGTACTACTAATCATAACTGAAAGACAGATACTATGGCAAAACGCTTCAAATAATAAAAAAAATGTTAGAAGGAAGCCAGTAAGATGGAGCGCTGTAATTTCTGTGTAAGATGAACGAATATCACTCCACTAGAGTACAAACATGACACACAAAGAATGTAGCGCAACGATCAGTTTGGTCATGTTGGTCAGTTGGTATACTTTGTACACACTGTTTTGTGTTAACATAATTTGCAGACTCAAATGAAATTGAAATAACACAGGGCAGATTTTGTTCGAAGAAAAAAAAGTTAAGTTTAATACACGAAGACAAGATGGGGAGAACTCACATCTTTATTGGTGGCTTCCAAGATGAGCGTCTTGAGCTGGCCGAGGCTGTCATTGATGCGGGCCCGACGCCTCTTCTCCATCAATGGCTTGGAAGACTGAAAATGCAAGAAACAAATAATCAATTTTAAATTGGTAAAAGCCACGTTTCAATGCTCAACGTAAATATCCATTGAAACCCGTTTGAACTCGGTACTTTACGTCGAGACAGTTCAACCACTTTTCTTGGCTCCATGATAGTCCTACACTACAGCAAACAATCACGAGTATCATCATCAACCATGTCTGACAGAAACTTTATTTAGAACCTTTCAAGATTTGTATTGATACAAAAATATTTCAATTGTATGTACGGTTGAACCAAAGTTGAACATTCGTACTGTGGTACATTGAGATAGATCACATTCCAATGCATAATTTCACAACTGTCACTAAAGTAATATTGTACAGCTGGAGCGAACTAAATTAGCAAATAAAAACTTAACTGTCAAGGGGACACTATCATTCGGTGAAAAAACTTTGACAAATAAAATGGGGCATATAATTACCTTTCGGCCTTCGTGCATCTTTGGCTTGTTGCTGGTATCTATCGGCATCTTCAAGCAAAACGAGAATGGAGCAGTAGAAAAAAATCCGAGGAATAATATAAATCCAGAGAGCGGAGCGTGTGGCGTGTGCCGGGACGTACGGCGATTGTATGACTGAATATCTTCAGTGCAGTGACAGGAATATTTCAAGTTACATGTGATGGGATTTGCGCATCGAATGCCTTCACACAGCACTTTGACTAACTTCTTGGCCGCACGTCGCTATTGAACGGTTCATTTACGCATGCCTTGCCGACTCGTGTGAACATTCCATAACACACAGGTTCCCACCAGCGAATTCCAAGACACTCGACCAATCAGCGGAGCGCAGCTAATTTTATTCAGTCATCACCGACCGGCGGCGAGTGCGCCGGGAAACGCCGGCGCGGATTGGCCGGTGGCCTCGGGCCGCGCGCACGCGATTGGATTAAGGACGCGGTGACGTCCCACGTGGGTGGAGCCACGGGCCCACCGTGTTGCTCATCGGAATGCGATGCCGGTTTGTTATCCGTGAACCACACGTGCCGACTCCATTGTTACGGGCCGACGTCGAGCGTGCCCGAGTGTGGGAAAACCCCGCCCATCGGGCCCGACGACGACTCAGCTAATTGTAAACAGGCAGGCAAAGGTAAACAATGATCGTAGATAACGTTCCCTGTGGTGAGCTGTTGCTAGCGACAGGGTCGTGATCCGTTGGGCTTGATGCTGTGGGACCGCTGCCATGCCATGTACAGTACGTGTGGTACACGGTGGTTAATCACACAGCGTCATCACGAGACCTGTATACCACACCGCGCCGGCCTATCAATGCGCATACGGCATCACAGCAAACATCCCCACCTGACTGTCCCACGCTCGAGTACAATAGAACCTGTCGTATCGGAATGCGCTGTGAAATAAAACCCCCCCACTTAATCAGAATCCCAGAAAAATAACCTGCCAACTATCAGCAATTATTAATGCATTTCTTGCCTTTAAATTTCGAGGAGCCGACGCTCTTGGACACTCTTAACTACTCTATAAAAAAAATTAGTTTATGAAAGCCGTAGTTGGTTTCGTCACCGGTATCCCCGTTTTATCGCGCCGTCTCTTTGCTTTTCACAATCTGGTCATATTTAGCAGGTATTTACGAGATGTTTACCGATGATATTTTGAGGGGGGTGTTCTTATCACGGAACCGAACCATGGGAAAGGCAAACAAAGCAACGATTTTGCAGCTTACCTGTGTGGAAATAAATCTTACCCGAGCCACCTTATCGCCGTCCAAGCGGTGCCAAGAGGTCCTGTCCAGTGATTTGTCCCCTTTTTGTTTTTCTGTTATCTTTTTTGTTATTGTCAATTCACAGCCAGGTACAACCACATTATGCCACACGAACAATTTGCGCTATTTGTCGACATCATTACAGCTTTAAAAGCGATTTGTTTGCGATTTTCTTTGGTTTTTTTTTGTCTTAATTAATTGAATTAATAAACAAAAGAGGATTGTTTCTGAGTTCATTTCGGCGTGGCTGGCAGACCCTTGAATGTCTTGCACGCAAAGGAATTTCCAACATGCCACTGGAGTAAATGAATAATTACTTCTTTTTTTTATTAAACGGCATCTCTCAAACAACGAAAAAGGCATTGTAATTGGGTAAATTGTCTACGTTTGTACAAAAAACAACCCTTTTCTGAGACAAGGGGAAAATTTTATCTAAAACTTTTTGGTGAGTTAAAAAAAAGCAACAACGAAAACTGAGTGCAACCGGCTTTTTTTCTCCAAATAAAATTAAAAATTGTCGTCAAAAACTGAATAACATCAACATGAAATTCTATTGTGTGAGTAAAGGATTCTAGGGATCGATCCAACCCAAACAAAAACTAAATACTAAAGTTGGTTACATTCTAAATTAAATCGATTTCTTCTTCAAGAAAAAAAGGGGGGATATGACACAGAGAGTGAACGTTCCTTTACAATTTACAAATCGATTTTTCTTGAATTTTACAAATTTGAAACAAAAACTAAAATAGAACAAAGCTTTTTTTCTTTTAAATTCTTTGTTCAACTTTTCAATTCTTTTAAATTCTGTTAAATTTATACGGCTTGGCCCTCTCAAAGTTTATTCGTGTTTGCGTCTTAAAGCAATTGGCATCGTTTATTTCCACTGACACCCAAATAAAAACCGAAACCTGAAAGAAACAAAACAAAAACCCCGAAAATATGCGAAATAAACAATGTTCCAGTCGTCACGAATAAATAAAATGCAGATAAAACCACACGAGACGGCGGGGGCGTCAAAGAAGAGGGGGGAAAAAGAGAAGAAAAAAAAGGAGAAGAAATCAGCACTGATTAAATAAACTGCCACTCCGCGGTTTTAGAAAAAACACCTGTTAAGCGAGACCATCGGAATTTTCCCACGGTCGGGGCCCAACGCCAAGCTAGGCACTCGAGAGTCAAAAGTCCCCCACTTGATTTCGCACGTGCCCGGCCACTGCAGACACTCAACGGCCCAGCTCCTTATCGCCCGGCGTTCCGTATTCCCTGTATATCGATTGGGGGACCGATAAGATATTTTTGGTCACTGCACGTTGTTATGTTACCATGTTGCGGTCGCCACAATGGATTATATACTTGGGAAGAAACAAAAAAAAACCTCGCAGCAACTTGCGTGACTTGTCAAAAAAATTAAAGTCTTCTCTGAACATTTTTTTTTATTTCTTGAAATTAATTAAACTCCTGTTTTTGGAAGGATTTTATACACAATTGGTTTTTGAAAGAATTGAGACACTACAAACTTGATAGGCCTGAATTGAAACGAAAGCATCTTTAGAATGCGATTTGTGTAGCAAAGAATTTGGCGCGAAAAAAAATGTTTCAAATTTCATCGCCTTTGTTTTTTTATGGGACGATCACATTCTCAATGATCGTACTGCATTAAACTTACTACGCTAAAAACGCTTTTTTTTATATTTCCACTAATAAATTCCAAAATAAAATTTTAGTTTTCTGCGTTGTATAAGGTGGCGAACACAACATTTTGGGACTATGGGAGAAACTGTAACTGAAATGAAATCTATTAAACCCCAAAACAAAACTACATTTTTTTTTGAAAGTCAAATATTCTATTCATGTTATGAACTCACATTTTGTAAGCCGTGTATTTTTTTTTTCTTCATCTGCGGGCGAGCCAATTGTGAGTTACTTCGTTGCAAAGAACAACAAAGTTATTACATAAACACTGAAACTGACATTGATGACCACGAGAGGGCGCCATAACAGTCACGCGCTTGCTCCAGCTCGCTCGGCCGCTGAAAGTGCAATGCGCTTTCTCTGCATACAGTGAAAACCTGATGAAAAACATTGAAATGGTCGGTGTGATAATAAAGCAAACTGGGTCAGTTCGCGAATTTTTTTTCCGATATGGAATTTAACGCACACAATCAATGTCAAGCCAGAATGATGGTCATCAATCAATTTGCTGTGAGTTTCTTGTTACGTCTGAAAAAAAAAAGGATTTTAGCTTCCGGAATGCATTTATTTTTTTAAAGAAATGCTTGATGTTCACAAAAGTGTTTCAACAAACATGCGTGAAGTTCAAACCGTTCAGAAGCAAATTTCTTGAGCAGTGCCAGTGTGTTTGAAGAGTTGAATAGTTGCCTTGATATTTATGTTGAACTTTTTTATTAGTGTGTGGCTATCTTGTATGGGTCAGCGTGGTGGGCGTGAGGGTAAGGATGGTGATAAAAAAAATGCCATTCCAGAGTCTGGATTGTTCTAGGTGTGATCATGGTGAGATATAGAAGTTATGGTGAAGAGGGGAGGTTTATAGATGTGTGACCCAAAGCATGTACCTGATGTGAATGTCAACCCGTTTTGAAGTAAAAACTGCATAGAAAAGGTCACAGTGGTGATTTCACGAGATAAAGATGCTATGAATGACGCATACAAACCATCAGTTCATTCACTTAGGTCAAAGTGGTGAACACGGATTGAAGACAATTAATGCAGCCTGGTGCATGCAATGGATGCCCTGTTTCTCAGAGTATGCATAGCCCACATGTCATGGTGGTGCGTGCAGGTCACGTTGGTGATGAGGGAACTACAATCTGCCGTGAACCACACGGTAAAGAAACAAATGAGCTGCATTTTTCGGTAGCACACTGTCTTATGAGCATCCACTGCGCATGCGTCTACAGTGCGTAGGGGTCATGACCCTCGGCCAGGGCTGGCATGCGCGTACACGTGCGGACGATCAGTCAGGGGTTTGTTTGTAAAAAAATCACCTTTTTTTTGTTGCCAGATTGGAAATAATCGTGGGGGCGGTGACTGTTCCACGCTTCTGAACCCAAGTCATGCGTCAAGTGCCAGACCCTTTTGTTCCGGTAAAAAAAACACGCATTCTTTAATAAAAAATTCCCTTTTGCAAAAACATTTCTAGAAAAACATCCCGTATATTGCGCAACCTGGGGAATTTTAAACCTAAAATTTCTAGACTTGTAGCTCCATAAATGAATTGAGTTTATTCCCTTGCTTTCATTGATTGCTTTTAAACAGACACACCACATGATTGCTTGTACCAAAATTTTGAATATATGTATATGTTTATTAATAATCATCCAAGGGGAGAAGCGCCGGATTAACTGACACAGAATGAAATATTTTTACTTTTTACTTTAAGTAACATAATTATACTTTGTGTAATTATTTAAAGTGCAATCTTTGCAATGAAAATCCGAATACCATTAAGTCGGTTACCTACGGGGTTTCAACTTTGAAAGTGTTGAGTAGCAATAAAACATGTCACTTGTTTTTTACTCTTTCGTTTTAAATTCCTTTTTTTTTAAATCCCTACATTCACCTGTGGCACACTGACTTTGTTTCCCTCAAAAAATGTTTCCGAATCAGACAGGGGGTCTGGCAAACATGCACCGCGATGTGACCCCCGAAAATGTGCGGCCATTATCTTGAAAACCAAGTCCTCCCACTCACGAATGTCTGAGGACCCGTTTTGCGATAAAGAGGGGGGTGCAGACTAGCAGAATTGGGCCGAGGGAACAGGGCAACTATGCAGTTCCCACGGTAGGTTCATGGGTACCCGGCAGGCGCGCTGGTCTCGCGACGCTCTTCGCGGAAACATACATGTACAGCGTTCAAACACACGATATCCGGCTTCCAATGGGTGTGCATAAATCCTCATAGAAGACAAACAGAACCAGAGTGCACACAAATCAATAGCAATATACAACAGCAAGATAATCTGTTCTTCTATTCTAACCCGCTTGTAATAATGCTATAGTGGGCCAGATAGGGGAAATATTTGGGGGAATTGTGCCGTTGATGATACAAGCATGACATTT